TTTTTTTTTCAAGAGTTCAACTTTCAATTAAATATGAAATGGAGATGCATTATAATTACTCTATTGAGATATCAATAAAAAAAAATTTACACTTGGAAAAGAAAGTCATTCCAAACAAGAAGCCAAGCCTTCACTGTTTTCTACCACAAGGCAACAGTATCAATGAAACATCTAATGCCAAGTCTGGCTCGCAGCAAACAGAAGCCTGCAAACGGCTTTTTAGTTACATCTCTCAAAACCGAAGAAGCTGTTTTGCTTGATACCATAAAACCAAGCTGGAATATAAAGCCGGAGGACTCGAGCTGTTGCAGAATCAAGCCTTAACCCGAATCACGAAAGAGCCTGTGAGAACATGAGAAAGATATTCACCAAACAGAAACTTAACTTATAATGAATGACAGGTAATACAGATTTTGAAAGATGGTTGGAGCTTAGTGTATGTGATCAAACTCGAGTCATACAGCACATGCCAAGTTAAGAATTTTTGGGAGCTAAACCAAGAACGAGGTTGCTTGCAACCAGTAAATGCCCAAATAAGCAAAGACTTTTAGCAATTTACTCTCTTTCTTTTCTCCAATGTGTTATTTTGAGACTATAGAAGAAAGTAAAAGAATCAGATTTTTGAAAAGGGTAAAGGAAGCTGTGAGCTTACATGTAGGAAGGCTCGATATATCTGCAGAGACAGCGCAAGGTATCCCCAAGTTGGAGAGAACACCTCTTATGATTCCACATGGGAAATACAAGTACATGCTCACCGCTTGTGCTGCTTTGCTTTCCCCTGGAGTAGACGGATCTTCGGTTTCCATCTCCTGTGAAGGGTCGACCGAAACACGTGACAACCATCGGAACTTGTTGTCTTGCAATACAAAAGTACCCTGAAGAAACATTTGTGAGAAAACACACAAGAAGAGCGTTTCCCTTTTTATTCAGGCAATTCTAGTTTTTTTTAAGGAAAATCTTACCCGGTGATTTGTCTTTAGATTATCTATCTGCTTCTTGAAGACCTCAGACCAGAAGTCTTTGCAGATAAACTTGATTGCCTCGAGATGATCACTGAACCTTGGTCTTTCCATAGTGTATCTAACGACATAAACAGGCCAGAGTTATGCACAATCAAAGTAAGTAAGCAAACACCTTCAGAAGCAACAAAAAGCTGCTTCCACTTACTAAATTCAATCTTCTGATACATAAGTGAAAAGAGACTAATAGAATCCATCTTCTGACACATATAGGGGAAAGGGATTTCCTCACGAAAACATTACAAAAGTAAAAGAAAAATTAAGCAACTAGAGCTATGAGAAACGAAACGGAGTCCTCCATTTCGATTTTCTGATTCAGTAAAACCTGCATTCCGAATTCATGACAGCTGATCTTAGATTCAAATTCTTGAGCAAGGGCAAATTCTCAGATTCCAGCCTTTGAGGAAAGAAAAACACAAAATCTAAGGCACAACACAAGAAAGAGTCTAAGCTCTAACTTCCAATTTTCTTCATTTCCCACAATTACTAGAAATAAGAAACGAAACCATAATATCTTCATTTCAGTACCAAACTGATCTCAAATCCCTAAAATTTTTAACAGTTCCTCAACCTGAAAAACTCAAATCAGCGAGATATATCTTCCCATCTATCACCATCTCACACATTATCGGCCAATTACACATGAGAAACGACAAATCCAATTTTTCAGAGAATCATCCTCAGATCTACAAACCAATACTAACATCCTCAGATTAGCGTAAGAATCTCAGGAGTAATTGAATCATATCTAAGGAAGACGATGATCAAGCAAAGAACAAGGACAAACCTCTCGGAGAGCTGATGTCCGACTTGATAACCAATGGCCTCGATCCTCCGAGCAGCGAGTTCCGGCTTATTAGCGTAGAATCGACCACTGTACATCGCCACCATCTCCATCAACATAGTGTCTACACAGCTCTCCGCCACT